AGATGACGTGCCGAGTTGCATTAAGAAGACACGTCTGCAGGCTGCCCCTACGAGTGGCTTGCCGGCCCTCCGCGAGGTGGCCATGAACGCTGTTGTGCACTCGGGGCCCCAGGAGTGGTTCGACCAGAATGCCTTGGGTGGTGTCTCCACGCTCGTTCAGAAGGTCGTACGAGGAGTACGTGTACATCGAGAGCCACGGCGGAGACTCTATGATCACGACCGCCACCGGGAGTGCAATCGCCTGTCGGTGATGCTCTCCGCCACGGGCCAGTGTGCCTACAAGGACGACGGCGCGAGCCGTACCAACGAGCGCACGGAGGACAGTTGGGTTGGTCTCACGCTTTCCTACCACGACAAGCCGGACGCTCAGGCACAAGGGGTGTGCTATTTGGACACTCCGGAGGGTCTTGTACGGCAGCCGATGACTTACGAGGAATGGATCAACGTGTCATCTGTGTATGACGCATGGCTGCAGGAGGCCCGGTACGAGCACGACGTGTTCGCACTCGTGATGAAGCAGAACGCGAAGGAGCTAGACCCACGTCACTTCAACCAGCACGAGAAGGCTAAGTTCGACGAGGCCGATGCCGCCGAGTGGCGGCAATGGATCGCCAACAACACGGTCGAGCTGGTCACCGAGGAGGAGGAGAAGAGCATCCCAAAGGACAAGATCATCTCGGTGCCCATGCGTTCGGTTCGCACGAACTGGGGGCGAGGGCTGGAGTTGGAGGCGAAGTCGCGCTTGATCATCCCTGGCCATCTCGACCCGCAGCTTGGTCTATTCAGGACGGATTCGCCTACTACTTCCCCTTTGGCTGTGCTGGTGTGTGCGTCTATCACAATGGCGATGGATTGGACATTCGAGTGCTTCGACGTAGCGACTGCGTTCCTGTCCGGGCTGAAGCTGGAGCGGGAGCTGTATGTGAGGGCTCCTAAGGACGGGCTTCCAGCCGTCGACGGTGCTGGATGGCCAGCCGTGCGACCTTATGCGTTGCTCCGCTTGCTGAAAGGAGCGCACGGTTTGACGGAGGCGCCTCGGTTGTGGTATCTCCGAGCCCGCCAGAAGCTGACGGACGAGGTCGGCTTCGTGGAGCTGCGCTGTGCTCGAGCTGTCTTCGTTTATCGGATGAACGATAAGTTGATTGCTATGTTGACCTTGCACGTCGACGACGGCATGCTGTTTGGAGACCCGCATGACCCCCAGTACCAGGAGGTGAAGGCGAACATCAACAGTCGTTTCAACATCAAGCACTGGAAGGAGGGCAACGACAAGGAGGCAGTCGCCTATCTCGGTGAGGAGTGGTGGCGCCACCCCGATCACATCGAGATCAGCTTGCACGAATACATCGGCTAGCTGACAAAGCACCCCCTTGCAAGGGGTGACGACGAGGAGCGGGAGATGACTCCCGAAGAGCACCACGACTTCCGGAGCTTGCTCCAGAAGGTGCGGTGGCCTGTCGCACGCGTGGTGCCACAGCTCGCGTACAGTGCGTCGGCGCTCGCACAGAAGGATCCGAAAGGTCGGAGGTTACTGCACCTGCGAGTGCTCAATGACATCATCGACGGGCTTCAGGACTACGACACGAGAGGTCTTGCGACCCTCCGGATCCGCCGTGTGGACATCGAGCGCTTGCAGGTGCTCACGCTTATGGACGCTTCGTTTGCGAAGGAACCCGGCTGTAAGAGCCAGATGGGGTTCATGAGTATGATTGCGGATACCCGAGTGTTGAAGGAGTTAGCTGTGTGTTGTCTAGTGGAGTTCCAGAGCAGTACGATTACACGAGTTGTTGGATCTACGATGGCCGCAGAGTCTGCGGCTATGTCCGTGGCTTTGGATCGGCAGCTTTACCTCAGGCTGCTGATTGAGGCAATCTTGCACGGGGAGCCGCCCTTGCAAGGGGACTGGAGGCTGGCGCTGAAGGTTCCGGGGGCGCCGGTGACGGACGCAAAGTCGGTCTACGACCGCGCGTCCAAGATCGGCTCGATGCCGGTGTCTCGGCAGACCCTCATTGACTTGTTGGTGGCCAAGGATTTGATAGAGCAGGAGGCCATCAAGTTCAAGTGGCTGCCCAATGGCCACATGCTAGCGGACGTGCTGACAAAGGCCGTGCAGCCTAACGAGGTGCTATCGCAGTTCCTCCGCCACGGACTGTTCAGCATGGTGCCTACTGCTGAGCAAGAGGATGAGGAGGCACACCGTCTGCGGCTGCGCCGCGGACAGCGTGAGAGAGCCAAGGAGCGGAAGGCCCAGCGTCGGGTCGCCGTTCCAGGGCTTGCGAGCCCGTGAGGTCCTGATTGCAGCCGCTGATGGACCTAGTGAGGGCTACGGTGATGTATGCATATCTTTTGAGTTGTCAGTCTGGATTAGTGAATCTAGACATTCATATTTTTATATTTATATTTTGAGCCTCAGGCCGCAGTTTTTGTGCTTGAGGTGTTTCGGCCTGTGGGCCGATATACATGATAACTGCGTGCGGCGTTTCCCGTTCGTAGGGGGCGGCATCGGGGCAGCATTGTACTCACCCAGTGTGAAGAGTGCACTCCCCTGCCCCTCTGCCGCCCGTGCCACCGTGTGCGTATGATGTGTACAGGGCCATGCCCAGCACTTCTTATATTCATGTTTGTGGCATGCACGCTGCCCGCCGCTGTTTTGGCCCTAGTCCTAGGGCCCTGGGACTGCACCGCCGTTTCGACCGCCGCGCAGTCCGCGAGGAAAACAACTGCACTGACAGCCGCATCGCATCGTATTCACAGGGCTCGTGGCCTCATAGGGAGCTCCACCGAACGCGTCAGCGGGAACGTCCGCAAGGCAATGCCGGTCCATTTCGGCACACCCTTCAAACGGTTCGTGGTCCCATAAAGAGCTCCACCGAAGGCCCCAACGGGGGCGTCCGCATGGCGCCGCCGCTCCATTTTGGCACACCCCTCACACGGTTCGTGGCCCCATAGGGAGCTCCACCGAAGGCCCCAGCGGGAGCGTCCGCATGGCACCACCGCCCCTTTCGGCACACCCTTCACACGGTTGGTGGCCCCATAGGGAGTTCCACCGAAAGCACCAGCGGGAGCGTCCGCATGGCACCGCCGCCGCCCTATTTCGGCGCACCCGTCACACGGGCACCGCCGCCTGATGTCGGCACACCCCTCACACGGTTCGTGGCCCCATAAGGAGCTCCACCGAAGGCCCCAGCGGGAGCGTCCGCATAGCACCGCAGCCCCATTTCGGCACACCCCTCACGCGATTCGTGGCCCCATAGGGAGCTCGACGGCCCCAGCGGGAGCGTCCGCATGGCACCGCCGCCCCATTTAGGCAATTTTTTGGCACACCCCTCACACGGTTCGTGGCCCCATAGGGATTTCCACTGAAAGGCCCCAGCGGGAGCGTCCGCATGGCACCGCCGCCCCATTTCCAATTTTGGCACACCCCTCACACGGTTCGTGGCCCTAGAGGGAGCTCCACCGAAGGCCCCCGCGGGAGCGTCCGCATGGCACCGCCGCTCCATTTGGCATACCTCTCACACGGTTCGTGGCCCCATACGGAGCTCCACCGAAGGCCCCAGCAGGAGCGTCCGCATGGCAATGCCGCCCCATTTTGGCACACCCCTCACACGGTTCGTGGCCCCATAGGGAGTTCCTCCGAAGGCCCCAGTGGTAGCGCCCGCGTGGCACCGCCGGCTTTGTTTGGCACACCTTTCACATGGGTCGTGGCCCCGTAGGGAGCTCCACCGAAGGCCCCAGCTGACACGTTCTTACGCGATTCGTGGCCCCATAGGGAGTTCCACCGAAGGCCACAGCGTGAGCGTCCGCATGGCACCGCCGCCACATTCGGCGCACCCTTCACACTTCTCGTGGCCCCATAGGGAGCTCCACCGATGGCCCCAGCGGGAGCGTCCGCATGGCATTGCCGCCCCATTTCGGCACACTTTTCACACGGTTCGTGGCCCCGTAGGAAGCTCCACCGAAGACACCAGCGGGAGCGTCCGCATGGCACCGCCGCCCCATGTGGCACACCTTTCACACGGTTCGTGGCCCCATATGGAGTTCCACCGAAGGCTTCAGCGGGAGCGTCCGCATGGCACCGCCGCCCCATTTTGGCACATTCTTACAGGGAGCTCCACCGAAGGCCCCAGCAGAAGCGTCCGCATGGCACCGCCGCCCCATTTTGGCACATTTTTCACAGGGGTCGTGGCCCCATAGGGAGTTCCACCGAAGGCCCCAGCGGGAGCGTCCGCATGGCACCGCCGCCCCATTTGAGCACATCTCACACGGTTCGTGGCCCCGTAGGGAGTTCCACCGAAGGTCCCAGCGGGAGCGTCCGCATGGCACCGCCGGCCATTTTTGGCACACCCCTCACACGGTTCGTGGCCCCTTAGGGAGTTCCACCTAAGGCCCCAGCGGGAGCGTCCGCATGGCATTGCCGCCCCATTTGGCACACTTTTCAGACGGTTCGTGGCCCCATAGGGATTTCCCCCGAAGGCCCCAGCGGGAGCGTCCGCATGGCACCGCCGCCCAATTTGGCATATTTTTCACACGGTTCGTAGCCCCATCGGGATCCGAGCTCCACCGAAGGCCCCAGCGGGAGCGTCCGCATGGCCCCGCCGCCCCACTTAGAGGGGGACGCAGACCTCCTCTCGTCGCGAAAAATAATCTCATACTCATACACGCACGTGGGGGGGCGGAACAAAAACATTCAGACGGTTTCGCCGTGTAGGGCATCAGGAGGCCGTCACCGAGGTGCAAGACCATCGAACATGATCCGGAGTGGAGACACTCTCGGGGATGGAGGTCAAATCTTTGGGGAGCCACGTTGCGCAACAAACACACGACATCGGACATAGAAAGATGAGGAAGTAGGACGGAACAGATGGGAAAGTAGCATGCGCCGTGAAAAGGTTGCCAGGCGCTGCGCAGTGGGCCAGACGGGCGAGGCAGGATCGTTCGTCTCCCCTGCCGCCCTTATCTTCATGTTTCTCATCGTTGTCTTTTTCGACGCTATGCTTCAGGTGTGGTGCTGCAACAACGAGAACACCGGGTGCCCCAAGACCACCACCAAGAAGCCGTTCGACTGTGACTTTGGTTCAAAAGGTCCTGCAGGTTTCTCTGCCCCGAAGAGAAAGTGGCCGGCCTTCTCCGCCGCTACCTCCGAGGGGCGAGGGGAATCGACAGGGGAGGCCTGGTTCGCGGGGGGAAGCAACGACCTGGAATCGAAGATTCATCGCCGATGGGCGTTCAGTTTCCGATGGGAACACCTCACACTCCTGTGCAGGCTGGGGCAACCAGGCCCCGATCGACGAGGAATTCGCGGATTGTGGTTGATGCTTTTTCCCCTGAACCAGTTCCCCACCGTCGACGCCCTCGATCTAAGGCTTTGTCATTGTGCTCTGATTTGTCTGCGATCTCCGCTTCGATATCATCATTCGCATAGCTTCCGTCTTTCCGTGCTTGCACCTGAAGCTCCTCTTTTGTTCTCGTTTTGTCTATTTAATTTGTCCTTCGTATCGGAGGTATGTGCAGCCTCGGAGTATTCTATGATAGCGAATGCGTGTGACAGATGTTTGAAGAGTTTTCTCCGAACGGATCCTGCGAGCCATTCCTCTTGGCTGGGACGGTGTTGCGCGGGTTCACGGTTCCGTGTCGTACGGGAGCGTCGGCATGAGAGTAGACCTTGACAGTTGATCCAATACTTAGTTGAGTCATGTCCGTGCCCAGTGGCAGCAGTGCAGTGGTATCCAGACCAATTGGTCAGCACGAGGCGCCGTGCACGGTTGCCTTACAACAGGCGGCGCATGTGGGGAACATCGTGTTGTGCCTTTGCCAGAAGAAAAAACACAATTGATTTTCATCCGTGGTTCTGTTCTCCCCCCATCGTCATCGTCACAGCATTCGCGATTCTCCGACGACTAGTCGTGATTCCCCGAACCATTGAATATTCAGGAGAGTTCATTTGGCATAGAATACCAGCGGGGCGCCAACGATTCTGCATGGAATGTTCTGATTCCATGGGCGTCTCAGCAGTTTGCTTGCACGAGCGGTGTCCCCCTCTTTCGTGCAATGCTCGAGCGAGGTGGTGTTGCGAGAACGAGCAGAAAGGGTGCGAGGCCACGACTTTAGTTTGCCTTCAAGCCTGCTTCTCTCGTCCGTATACCAGGCGACGATCAGTGCGCCATCTCAAGGACTCCGAAACGCCAGAGATGCCCCGCAGCATGCACCAGAGAAGCGACTGGCTGGCCCTTCGTCGGGCTGGCCCTGGCTGGCCAACGGCCGCAGCCTGCCAGCCGCCGACGTCGGCTCGTCGGCGAGGTGTGATTACGCCTGGGTGTGGATTGTGATCCTCGTCGTTGGGGCTTCTAGGGTACCGCGTTGCCCTCGTCGGGCTTCCTCGGGGCGCAGCAAAGAACTTCGTCGAGGTCCTCACCCACCCCTCAGGGTGCGCGTTTCGGCTGCGAAATCCGAGCTCTACCCTCGCCGATCAACGATTTAGGCAACTCGATTGCCAGTGGAGGTAGGGTTCGGAAGTCATCGAACTCGTAGCGAAATCCTAACACTGCCCCCGCCTCCCATCGATTCAGGAGAATCGATGGTTCGTGGGGGTAGGGTTCGGATTTCCCCACCTTGCGTTGCAAACCACACCTTTTGCAAATCACAACTTTCGGAGTTGCCGAGTTGGCGCAGAGAGGCGGAGCCCGTGGCACTTGCTGGCCCTGCGAGGAGTTCGACGGCGGCTCGGTGTCCAGCTGCTTCGGTAGCCACTCGTGGGGCCTTGTATGTCCTCGAAACCCAGTCTTTCGAGTGAATCTGCGCGCGCTAGCGTCTGGTCATCGACGGGAAGGCGCCGACGTCGCGTCGATGTTGCGTCGATTTTGCGTCGATTGGTGTCGACTGACGTCGATTAGGGTCGATTCGCATGAGCCAACAGGATCACACGGGAGGCCCCCATGAGTTGCCACACAACCTTGCCAGAGCCTTCTCGGGCTCACAGTCAAGGCGCTGAAACAATGAGCAGATTTGGCTCGGAATGGGCTCGCTGTTTCTGGGGTGCTTCCATGCTTAGCGCGGCTCAAGAGGTCCCGAATGCTTTCCTGGGGTAGTTTTTCCTGAATCTCTCTCCGCGGGAGGGCTCCTCTCACCTCACCAGGACCCTCTCACCAGAATCTCCTCACGGGGGTCAAAGATTCCTCTCACCCGAGTCTCCTCAGGGGTGGCCCGGGGGAGGCACCTCATCGGCCGGGCGGCGCGGACCGGAATCTGCCAGAAGCGCTCACTATGGTGCTCTGGCTTGATTTGGTCCAGAATGCGGCTCAGTATGGTGGGCGGCCCGGAGTCTGCGGGCAGGGCCCACTAGGGTGTTACAGCTCGATTGCAGCGCTCGCAGTACGTGTCCAGGCCACCCAAGGGGGGTATCCAACATGGTGGTCCCGAACTGGAACCACGCTTCTTCACGTGTCCAGTCCACTCAGGGTGATATGTTAAAATGGTTCCCGAGCTGGAACCACATGGTTTTCCTGAGTATCGTTCCGCCAAAGGGTTCCGACAGGGCAGCGGGAGTCAGAGATTCCTCCCACCATATCTCCACGGGGGAGGGCCGGGGGAGGCGTCTCACTGGGTCGGCGGCGCGGCCCGGAATCTGCCAGCAGGGCTCGCTAATTGCGGCGCTCTGGCTCGATTTAGTCCAGAGATGCAATTCAGTGTGGAGGCGTGGCTCGATCTCATCTGACATGCCATTTTCCTGTGGCTCGAATGCCGTATGTTTCGCATATGTTCCTATCAATCGCCCCTCCATTGTGCCTCGAATCCGAGGTGCTTGACATATGTTTCTATCGATTACCCCTTTTCCTGGGGCTCGAATGCCGCGTGGTTTTCGCATGTGCCTATGGAATGCCCCTTCCTGTGGCTCGAATCCTATGTGTATGAAGTATGTTCCTATCTATTGCCCTTCTCTTGAGGCTAGACTCCTATATGTGTTACGGATTTGCCTATGGATTGCCCCTCTATTTTTGCTCGAACCCTGTGTGCTTTCTATCTGCTTGTATATATTGCCATTCTCCTGGGGCTCGAAAGCCTTGTGTTCACATATGAAAGAGCGCGTTCTGTGGTCGCTTGGGTGGGGTAACCGGACCCCTCGCCCCCCCCTGGATGGAGGGAGGGGGGTCGAACTGGGGTGGGGTTCGACACCTCCCCCCCTTCCCTCCCCCTCCTCCCCTACTTCTCCTCTCTCCCTCTCCTCGGGCCGGCGCCTGCGTCGGCGGCGGCTGGCGGCGGCGGCGGGGACGACCACTTCCTTTTCTGGGCCGGCGCCAGCGCCTGCGGCGGCGGGCGGCTGCGGCGGGGAGTGTCGACGAGGACGACGGCGACGACGATGACGACGACGACGACGACGTTCCGCCACCGTGCTTTGGTTTTGGGTCAGAGTCCTGATGGAGGCCTCTTGGAGCCTCGTCGGAGGGCTCTCGGTGGCTTCTGAAGGGCATTTGTGCAGCCTCATGGGCGCCTCTTGGGTGTCTCTTGGGGCCTCTCTGAGATGGTAATGGTGGTGGTGGTGGGCTGTGGTGGTGGTGATGGTGGTGGTGGTGGTGGTGTGGTTGGTGGTTGTGGTGGTGATGGTGGTGGTGGTTGTTGTTGTGGTGGTTGTGGTGTCAGGTTGTGGTGGTGGTGGTGGTAGTTGTGGTGGCGGTGGTGGTAGTGCGGTGGTTTCTGGTGGTGGTGGTGGTGGTAGTTGTGGCGGTGGTGGGTTAAGGTGGTGGTGGCGGTGGCGGTGGTGGTATGGTGGTTTGTCGTGGTGGTTGTGGTGGTGGTAGTGGTTGTGGTGGTGGTGGGGGGGTCCCGTGCCAGATTTTGCAAAGTGGGGGGTCTTGAAGAAACTCTGCGCACTCCAGGAGGGTGGGGATGTCAGGCGAGGTGGAGGGGGTCCTGGGGCGGATTTTGCAGGGTGGAGGGTCGTGGAGAAACGATGCGCAGGGGTCCAGGACCAGGAGGCTGGGGATATCAGGCGTGGTGGGGGAGGTCCCGGGGCGGATTTTGCACGGTGGGGGTTGAGGAGCTCGGGGATGTCGGGCGTGGTGGGGGAGGTCCCGGGGCGGATTCTGCAGGGTGGGAGGGGGTCCTTAAGAAACGATGCGCAGGGGTCCAGGAGACTACGGATGTCAGGCGTGGTTGGGGAGTGTCTTGGGGCGGATTTTGCAGGGTCCGGGGTCTTGAAGAAACGATGCACAGGGGTCCAGGAGCTTGGGGATATCAGACGGGATTTGTTGGTGTCCCGGGGCGGATTTTGCAGGGTGGGTGGATCTTAAGAAACGATGCGCAGAGGCCCCAGGAGGCTGGGGATTCAGGCGTGGTGGGTGGGGTTTCGGTGCGGATTTTGCAGGGTGGGGGGTCCTTAAAGAAACGATGCGCAGGGGTCCAGGAAGCTAGGAATGTCAGGCGTGGTTTTGGGGGTGGTCCCGAGGCGGATTTTGCAGGATGGGAGGGCCTTACGGAACGATGCGCAGGGGTCCAGGAGGCTGGGGATGTCAGGCGTGGCGCGGGCGTGGTAGGGACGGTTCCGGGATGGATATTGCAGGGTGGGGTGTCGTTAAGAAGCGATGCGCAGGGGTCCATGAGGCCGGGAATGTCAGGGGTCCAGGAGGCTGGGGATGGCAGGCGGGGTGGGGGGGACGTCCGGGGGCGGATTTTGCAGGGTGCGGGGTCCTTGAGAAACGATGCGCAGGGGTCCAGGAACCTGGGAATGTCAGGCGGGGTGCGGGGGGGCTTGGGGCGGATTTTGCAGGATGGGGTGTTGTTAAGAAGCGGTGCGCAGTGGTCCAGGAAGCTAGGAATGTCAGGCGTGGTTTGGGGGGGTCCCTGGGCGGATTTTGCAGGGTGGGAGGGCCTTAAGGAACGATGCACAGGGGTCCAGGAGGCTGGGGATGTCAGGCGTGGCGCGGGCGTGGTAGGGACGGTTCCGGGATGGATTTTGCAGGGTGGGGTGTCGTTCAGAAGCGATGCGCCGGGGTCCAGGAGGCCGGGAATGTCAGGGGTCCAGGAGGCTGGGGATGGCAGGCGGGGTGGGGGGGACGTCCGGGGGCGGATTTTGCACGGTGGGGGGCCCTGAAGAAACGATGCGCAGGGGTCCAGGAGGCCGGGGATGTCACAAGTGGCGGGTGGGGGATCCGTGGGCGGATTTTGCGTGGTTGGGGGTTCTCAAGAAACGATGCGCTCGGGTTTAGGCGGCTGGGGATGTGAGGCGTGGTGCGGGGTCGTAGGGAGGGTCCCGGGATGGTTTTTGCAGGGCGGGGGGTTCTTAAGACAATGTGCGTAGGGGTCCAGGAGGTTGGGGATGTCAGGCGTGGCGGGGGGGCCCGGTACGGATTTTGTAAGGTGTGGTGTCCTTAAGAAACTATGCACAGAGGTCCAGGAGGCTGGGGATGTCAGGCATGGTGGGGGGTGGGTCCCGGGGCGGCTTCTGCAGGGTGGGGGCTCCTTAAGAAACGATGCGCAGGGGTCCAGGAGGTTGAAAATGTCAGGCGTGGTTGGGGGGGTCCTGGGGCGGATTTTGCAGGGGGCGGGGTCCTTGAGAAACGATGCGCAGGGGTCCAGGAGGCTGGGGATGTCAGGCGTGGTGCGGCCGTGGAAGGGGGTTCCCGAAATGAATTTTGCAGGGTGGGGTGTCCTTAAGAAACGATGCGCAGATGCCTCAGGAATTGTTGGATATCAGGCGTGGTGGGGAGGGAGGGTCCCGGGGCGGATTTTGCAGGGTGCGGGGTCCAGAAGAAACGATGCACACGGGGGGGATGTCAGGAGTGCTGGGGGGGTCCCAGAACTCATTTTGCAGGGTGGGGGATCCGTATGAAACGATGCACAGGGGTCCAGGAGGCTTGGGATGTGACGTGTGGTGGTGGGGGGATCCCTGGCCGAATTTCGCAGGGTGGGTGTACTTGAAAAACGATGCACAGGGGGCAGGAGGCTGGGGATGTCAGGCGTGGTGTGGGCGTGGAAAGCGGGGGCCCTGGGATTGATTTTGCAGAATGGGGTGTCGTTACGAAACGATGCACAAGGGCCTCATGAAGTTGGGGATGTCAAGCGTGGTGCGTGGGGTCCCAGAACGGATTTTGCACGGTGGGGGGCTCTGAA